TTGTTTTGTATCTTGTAACACACATGTATGTATATGTAATTGACTTGTTTTATTATCCCTTGGCTTGTTAAAGCCAAGTGGGATTAATAACGTGAGTAAGTTATTCTTAATGTATGTTTATTTTTATTAGATTCTTTTACCTTACATTATTATTTATGTTTATTGATTGATGTATATGATTTTGATCTTGTATATGCATATTGATATCGGTATTCAAAGGACAATTTCCACATCCTGGTTTTTTTTAACTTGTAGGGATATATATGGAAAATAAATGGACAATGGACAATGAACAATGAGTATTATTCATCAATGAGTTACTTAGAAAGTAATTTCACTGATGTCCAGATGTCACCAGAAGACTAGAGAAGTCTGTCAGCTGAATAATTTCCCATTGCCATCAACAAAATGAATTGGGTCTGATGTCAATGAAATTCTTATGTTTGCATATCAATATGTTTGTGATGACATGACTCAAAATGTGAAAGCATGCGGGTGCATTTATGGATGCAGATGGATAAATCTGCTGTTATTTTTAGTCACATTCTCCAACTACATGCTTGTAAATATCTCTTTAATATGAGTGAAGCATTTTATATATGATAGCTAGATGACAAATTAGCTTGTCTCAGATGAAAAAATTAAATTAGAAAATAAATGACACATATACTCAGCCTGGATCCTGTTTAATTAATATGTAAGAAAGATATGAAATATAATAGCTCATTTCATAGTAACATTTATGTCATAAATAAATGTGGCAGTGGCATATATGCATTTGATTTATATCTGACAGTTCACATTGGATGCCTTGGGCTGGCTTTGGTGTGTCACTTGGGGTGATACTGGTGCTGTTACCCCTCACATGGACTCATTATATCTGGAACAAGCTGAAAGACCCCCATGAAGAGCAAGATTACATTCCTGAGCCAACCAACAAATTACTTAATCTCCTGTATCAAGCATCCCTCAAAGTGGTTTGGAGTGTCAGCACTCGCACAGTTCTGTATCTGATTATATGCATCAGCTTGACCATCTGCACCATGCTTGAAATGGTAGGTCTACTATTTTGAACACTTTTCAACATTCAATTTTACTGCTTCATTCCTCATAGTTTGAGGCACAAAATGTCTTCACCCACTCAAATGCTGGGATCATAGGTTCAGATCCCACTGAAAGCACGGATGTATGTCTATATTTCTTATGTATTTGGGTCATCTTGTGTAGGTAGCAGCCTTGAGATGGGGCTCATCACCTATCCAAGGAGTGCTACCAACTATGTATAAAATTCATAGTTCTGATGGGAAACAGGCCAGAGGGCTTAATGCAGAAGACAGAGAAGGAGAACTGTTGTCAAGCACTTTAATTAAATAAACATCATCATTCTAGAACTTTACAAGAATGTTGTTGTTATCATTGTCATTGTTGTTGTTGTTGCTGCTGCTGTTGTTGTGGTAGTCATCACAATCATCAGTCCTTCCTGACTGTTGTGATGCATTCATGTTATTCATACAGCTTGACACCTGTCTTCAAGATTGCCCTGATTTCTACAGCAGATCATCACACCATATTCTGAGACCTCTTAATTAAACCGAATATTTTTCAAATGTTAAATTTGTGACATACAATAACACAGTGCAATTTTCTTATTATTTTCAGGTAGAATGTGACTTGAAGAGTGAAGATACTGAAGTAAAATCAAACAACGTTACTGGAGGTGACATGCTGGAAGTCCTGACAGATTGCCTTGCACCCTGGGTAATTTAAATATAGAGTGCTTTTGCATCTCTATAAGTATGTATTGTAAAGAACTTTGATCTGTTGTATCAGATGAAGTAACTAAGTGCAGTAATACTGGGTGGGACAAAATTATATCTGAGTCAGTTCCTTTGATGTTACAATATGGGAGGAATATGTTTAGAAGCATCTGAAAATAAACATGTTTTTATATGAAGTAGATTTATACTGTGATTGTATGGGCATGTGAAGCTTTAGCACTAAACACATCAATCTGTATTTATTATATTAAAAGAACACTTTCAAGGTTTGTTTTTAGCTCTTCCATAGAGAATATAACCAAATTGATCTTTTTATGACCTGTAACTGTATAAGGAATTCAGTTTCCCAAAACATTGAGAAACCTAATTTCATCAGTAAAGTTTGTCCTTTTAAGCTCGGTACTGGCTTTAGCAGTGAGGAATGTAACTGATCTTCACCAGCTGAAGTCTGTATGTACTTCAGCACAATCCAAAGTAATACAGAAAATCTTGTGTAAATTGGTCATTTGCTTCAAAAGAAGTTGGATGGGGGAAACATGTTCTATATCTCAAGGCAGCACTGCCAATTGTAGATCTCTGGAACGAAATAAATATGTATGTATGTATGTAACACATAGTCACACACACACACACAGCATGTTTTATTATAATTATTGGAGGGGGTGGGTTTCCCCATACACTGCGACCAGTTGTTGATCTATTGTACGTCCCCCTTTGATATGCTACCAGTCGCCATACCCTACTGGTACTGGTGCGTGCTATTAGCCCCGTTCAGCCAACGAGGTCGGCCCTCGGTACCTAATACTTCCCCCATCTACCAGAGGCATTGGAAAATGCTTGGGCGGGAAACTTGTTGCCTAATTTTGCTCAGAGGTCTCCTAGAGGCATGAGGATCTTTTATGTGCCGTAAATCTATGACATGGGACCCACGGCTTAAAGTCCCTCCTGGAGGACTTGTTCCCTGAATTTTTCCGCCCTTAAAAATTCCACGACCTCCACCGGGTTTGAACCCGCATACCTTGAGTCATGAGGTGGGAATGTTACCCCTAGACTATGGAGGCCACTCACACAGCATGTTAATCTTGTAACTAATGATACAGGTCAACTGTCAATGCAGCAACTTTTATTCATTTTGGTTACACTACATGTATTGACCCTTAAAGGGTCATCTTCAGGTGTTTCTAGTCACACATTATTAAATTACTGGATGCAATGTGAGATCCATATAGTCCTATTTACATACACAGGCCATAAAGTGGCTACACCCATGTTTATTTACATACACTTTAGGGATATTGACTCATCTGAGACTAAAATATTAAACTTAACAATTAAGCTGAAATTAATTCTATTTTATAATTGATTTAAAATTAATTTAAAGCTACTTTAAAACTGTGAGCTATGATCAACTTTGTGTCTTGAGCTGCAGTAGACCAATCCAAAGCTCATGTCTCGTTAATAACAGGCGACAGTACTTTTAATAGAATTTCGTTTGTTTAAACTAATTTTCCTTTATGTTTCTTGCAGCATATAACGCAGATTTGCTCCCTAACACTAATCATGAGCTTCTTGTTCCTGAGGATACATTTCCAGCTCAAATTGATTTTAGGCATCTTCACTGTAGTGATTTACTCATGTGGGGTCTGGATTCTGTTTCCAAAAGTTTTCCAGGTAATATTTGTTAATGATCACTAAACACGAAAGAATTGGAAATGTGGTTCCTGATTACTAAGTTAAAGAGTGACTGAGAAAGGTAAAAGATAATGTTGTGCCTGTGCTTGAGTAATTAAGCACTATGCCATAAAGACTAATCCTTCCAGCTGCACTATGGCCCTGGGGTCGACTCAGCCTCTAACAGAAATGAGTACCAGGAATATTCTTGGAATATTCTTGAGGGGTAAAGGGTGGCTGGCACATAGGACTGACAACCTTGCCGCCATCTATGAGCTGATTGTCTAGAAAATGTGGGAACCTCAACATCTCATAACCCTATGGGCCTCCACCATCTGCTGCAGGGATACTTTTACTTCACTTTTTTTACTCTGCCATAAAGACATATGGTGGAGTGAAAGTACTGCTCCGCCATTCATGACCTCGGCACTAGATGGGGTTGAGTGATCAGCTTCACACCCAGCCACCTTACCCCTGGGGAAATCACCTCCCCCCCCCCATACCCGTTGGAGAGGTGGCTGGGTGGGCCCCAGAACCAGTGTGGATGCTGAGAGAAGAGAAAAAGAGTGACTGACCAAAAAATGAAATAATATTGTGTTGAATTGATTCATATGTCAAATTTGATGTGTTACACTGTTCAATTTTCCTATTTGTGCAGTGTTTCTTATCAGAATTTTATGTTTTTATGGTGTCTGCCAGTAATATCAGTTTTTTCACACACTATTTCAAATACAGTAGAACTTGGTTATAACATCATCAAAGGGACCTAAAAATAGTGTCGTTATAAACGAATGTCGTTGTAACCGAAATAACATAATTATGTTAGTCACGTAAAAATCTACCAAAAACCGAGTTAAAATGTTGCATTTTTAGTGAAATACGTAGTTAAGTACACAATAACGTAACATTAACGTGGAATTGACCAAATGTGTAATATCAAAGACATATTACAGCGCTTTTCACTGACANTCGTATTCTTCCAGGACAGTCACATCAGCAAGTAGAGAAAGTGAGGGTGGGCAGACACATCGAACTTTCCCAAGATATCAGAGAAATTCAGGAATGAAAATGACGTTACATACGAGGTTGATGCATTTGTGCATGTCGTACTAAGCAAGGTATAAAAACAGTTGCTTTATGAGGAATTAGTTCGTACCATTGAATATTTGATGCAATAGACAAGGTGTCGCAGAAACCGATGTTGCTATAACCAAGTTTTACTGTAGTTCATTTGTTAGTTTTACACCTTATTTTCAGTATCATTCATAATTACAGTAATGCCAGACTTACATTCAAATTTGGGATACAGTTGTAAAAAATAAACTGAAATAATTTTTAGGGTCCAGACCATATGTTCAAACAATTCTGAACACCTAAAATTTCACAGATGTACTGGCAGATATCCCAAAATACCTCAGCTTGAAAATTAGTAATTCTTATAATTGGTGCATGGTAAATGGTATGTGCATGATAAAATTGCAATGCGCAGTGTGTTAACACACTACTCTTTCCTGTACTGTAAATATTAATCTGTTTCTCACTATTAATAATATAAGAATAATGTGTCCAGAATAATAAATTTCTTTTGTGGTTTTGCATAGTATGGTGAAACCTGGAACCCACAGATGGAAACAAGGATAGCACACATAATGAATGTTACTTTTCTGACAGTCACTCTACATCTAATGGATCGACAGGTAAGGTATTTGCAATTGGGAGTCTGAAAATGTTTACTAACCTATCAATACTTACCCTCTTTCCTCACAAAAATAACATTTATGATGCAGAAGTCCTTCTCTCATCAACATGTAAGCAAAGCTCCTCTATGATTATAATATTGTCTCATATTTGGTTATGGTGTAATTTAAAAATACTGGAACAAACAATGATATTGCATTTTCTAGAAAATAATTTTGATTTTCCTGCACATTTGGTCATTTAGCATCACACCTGTAGCCTTGAACTGGTTGTAAGAACCTTTTAAAATGCAAGAATTTGCACAGTTCAGAGTCATTACTCAGCTTATGAGAAGGAACTCTGTACATAAAGTTCTGATGATGAACAGCTGTTGATATCCATTTCCCCATCAAACATACACTACACGTTTCTTTTGCTCAGATTGTATTTATTAATGGAAAAATTTGCTTAAAAATAATGTATTATATATTCTATAGTTGTACAAAAATTCAGAAAATTATGTCTCATATTGCTAGTGATGAAACTGTTGCAAAGATGTGCATAAGTATCGCTTTGAAATTCTACTACAAGATTTAAGGACTATGATCAATGAAATGCCAGTGAACAAACAATTACACTTTCAAAACGTTTTCAATTGTCCTTAAACAAATACACGGTTATTCATTCTTTTGGTTTGCTATAGAATTAGTATGTATTTTACAACATAAAGAAAATATCTTATACCACATCTTTCCCAAATTTAGAACTAATGTTTGAAGTTTCTTACCACTTCTGTACAATGGTGATGTCACTAATATTGACTCCTATGATTAACAGTTATATTGGCAATTAAAAGCACATAATTCAAATTTCTTCAGATATGTAAGTATATAAGAGTATTATCTACTTGGATACATAATACGATGTAGTCTTCTGAAAGTCAACCAACCTTTTGGAGAAACATATCGCCTCCATCTTCAGGGTTGAAGAATAAACCGAGCAAGAAAGCAGCGTGAAAGCAGGTGGCAAGCCAGCTTGACTTATTATTCAACCCTGAAGAAGAAAACAACATGTTCCTCCAAAACGCTGGTTGACTTTCAACAGACTACATTGCGTTATATCCTAGAAGATTTGCAGCAAGAACCTCGAATCTTATATGTAAGTAAATACATTTATTTACTTTGAAGTTTGTGTTTTTACAATTCACAGTTCAGATTATTTTCATATCATTTTAATTTAAATTTAAATTTAAATTATATTTCTTCATTTTGTCAGCCTTGGATTCAGGTATTAAAAACTTCTCTTTTACAGACTGAATATATGAGTCGACTGGATTACAAATGGAAATGTCAACTGGCTCAGGAACAGGAAGAGTCTTCTACAGTGCACATGATCAATAAAATGTTACTTCAGAATATTCTTCCAGTGCATGTTGGTAAGAATTAAAGTATAGAAAATTCAAAGTCCAAAAACCTTGTAATTCTAAATACAAAGAACTTTCTTCATAGATCGATATTGAGTTTAGTGCACCATTTCTCAGACTGTGAGTTGTGACCCCAGTGAATTGCCAAGTTCTGAGGAATTATTTAAAATACGTGTATATTTGTTTCCACATACAATTTTGTAAAACCAGCAAGTCAGTAAGATTTAATACTGGTACGTTAAAAAAAGAAATTTCCACCCAGTAAAACATTTCACAAATAATATCAAGGCTGTACAGAAATATTTTACTGCATGTTGTAGATGTAGATAGGTTGGAGTACCATTCAGGTTTCTGCTGTCACTGTACAATGTGAAAGAGACCTGCAAAAATGGGAAGACCTGCACTTTTCACTGACCAGTAGGGATGGTTGTGTGTATGCATGTATGTTATTTTGTGGCATGGCAGTATCACAGAGTTTTAGAACCCTATAATTTAGTGTTTTGACCCCTTTTCTGAAGCCCATATATTCTAACTTAAGTACTTGGCAATCGTATGCAGAAAGCTAAGAAGTGAGGAATTAAATGTGTTGTAGCTGTTTAGCCCTTCACTGAGCCCTGAGCAAGAAGACCGTCAATGTGATTTTAAGAGGAAAGATCGCGGAACAAGTAGTCGGTACTTCCAACGGGTTACGGAAAATAAGAAAATGACACTGTGGAGGGGTCAGCCCCCTCCAAAACGAAAGAAAGGAAAAGGCTCGTATGGGAGGAACCGGTAATAGAAACACCGGCCTCTCTAGCAAGAGTGAACGAGGAAAGGATGAAAGTGAAAAATGAATGTGAGACAATGGTCCCGACAACCGCTGGACCTTGGAAGTGCTCGGGGCGAGCACTCTGGAAGAAGGGGGGCGGATGGAAGGAAGGAAGGCAAAACACCGAAGAAAAGGTGAAGGTAACACGCGGAAGATGAACACCTTAGGAAACGAAACCAAAGAAGAACCGTTAGGCTGTTCGGGGATGAACAACCTTTAGAAGGGAGCAATGTGACGAGCTATCTTACGTCCCTCGCCGCGCAACGGCTACAATGGAAAGTATCTACTCCAAACACGTTACAATATACAGAGTGAGTCACGGAGTTTTACCCCGGCTTATGGTACATATTCCTGGGGTTATTTCCTGCAAAATTTTCTTATAAACTTGTGGTCGATTTTCAATAGTTACGGAGTAACAATAGATTTTCTAAACGCATCATTGTGAATGCAGCGCTATGCTTCAGCGTGGGCGACCATGCGTTCCAGTCAGCTATGTCAGCAGATAAGGTAGACCAGTTTGAATGTTGCGCGTAGGTAGATAGGCAGAGCGGTTCATACGCGTGCGACGCATTGTGTTGACGTGAAGGGAGACATTTTTGAAAATCATATGTAAATCCAGTCGTCTTCTAAAGCACTACAGTTGAAAGGAAACAGATTGATAGAAGGGTGTGATATGTAACCATTGGTATGTTTACAGAATGGGATGCTAAAAATAATGGAATTTTGTAACACAAAATCGATGANAAACGCATCATTGTGAATGCAGCGCTATGCTTCAGCGTGGGCGACCATGCGTTCCAGTCAGCTATGTCAGCAGATAAGGTAGACCAGTTTGAATGTTGCGCGTAAGTAGGTAGAGCGGTTCATACGCGTGCGACGCATTGTGTTGACGTGAAGGGAGACATTTTTGAAAATCATATGTAAATCCAGTCGTCTTCTAAAGCACTACAGTTGAAAGGAAACAGATTGATAGAAGGGTGTGATATGTAACCATTGGTATGTTTACAGAATGGGATGCTAAAAATAATGGAATTTTGTAACACAAAATCGATGAAAAATGTTGCACAATGCAAAATTAAGAAATTGAAAAAAAAAATTGTTTTAGAATGCTTCTTTCCTAAAACATTAACGATTTAAAAAGTGTTTGTATTGTATTTCTAATTTGTTTTGACTGAAATTCAAAGAAAAAAAATTTTCGCCAGTTTTAAAATTACTGTATCTCTTTAATTATGAGTTGGGTACCATTAGTATATTAACATTTTTTGTTCCAAATTACCTCAGGAATGCCCACCCTAAGTGGGGGTAAAACTTCGTGAATCATTCTGTATACACACACACCCACAGTTATTTCTCTTGTATTATACAATGCAATTCTAAATTATTGTCGGCGTTCGGAAACAACAAAATATAATTATATTATACAATTTGATTCTAAATTATTGTCGGCGTTTCTGTTGCCTATAATTTTAAAACCGGAAACAACAAAATATAATTAATTACGGCATTATGCCGCATTGATATCTGGGTGAAAATATGGCGTCTTAGCTCAAAATGGCAACTGTTCAAGAAAAGGCAATGTGCGTGCTATGGTTTTTTGAAACAAAGTCTGTTATCAAAACCCAACGTCATTACAGAACTGAATATGGAAAAGCTCCACCTTCAGATAATGCTATCAAACGCTGGTTAAAGCAATTTGAAGAGACTGGTAGCGTTGTGCACCGAAAAGGAGTGGGAAAACCGAGCACGTCGGAAGAAAATGCTGAAAATTATAGACCACGGAAACCCCGACAATAATTTAGAATCATCCTGTGTTTCAGTTACATTTTCTATACTTTATATACTATATAACGTGTCGTAAATTAGGTGTGGATTAAACAAATTATTATATTTCAGAAATTATGAACCAAGTGCCGATGTGTGTGTGAAACTTTTTCATGATATGCGTGCATATGTGTGTGTGACTACTAGCAGCTCAGGTCTACTACAAATAAGTTGTTATAAAGAGGTTAGGGATTTATCGGATGACAATATCATTTGCTTTTGCTCTTTATTACAAACTGAAACTTGGACCGATATGTTTAGTGAAAATGATGCAGAGAACAAATGGATCTCATTTTATATAATTTTAACTACTATTTTAATATAGCTTGCCCTAAGGCAAGACGAAACATTGCATGTGTAAACAAGGCCACTTGGATAAATAATGATGTCATAGCCAAAACAAAATTAAGAAATTTGTATGACTTTTATACACAATTTAAAATTCAGGAATATAAAAACATTTATAAAGCATATGAAAATAATATAATGCAATCATAAAAATTGCAAAAGTAAATCACATTCAGAATATTATAAATAGATCAATAAACATTCCAAAAGCATTGTGGAAATTTGTAAATCGTGAAAGAGGTTCACTAACTAATATACTGACTAGAAATATATACTTATCAGATGGAAAACAAATAGTCTCAAGCCCAAGCAGAACTTGTAATATTTTTAACAAAACCTTTGTAGAAATCGTTAATAATCTTATACTTGATAAACATTTAACCCATCCACAAACTAGTATTAACATAGTTTAAAAGATTCATTTGTTTTGCTAGAAATAACAGAGGCCAAATTGATTAAAGTAATCCATAGTATGATGAATAAAATGTTGGCAGGACTTGATGATATCTCAGCTACCTACCTTGCTAAAAAATACACATCTTATATTATTAAACCGCTTTTAGAATTGGTTAATGCTTCAATTAGAGATGGCATTTTTCCATCTATATTAAAATCAGTGATTTGGTAGGTAAAGTTGAGAAGATAGCAAGAAAACCATGGGTTACACAGGAGATGATGAGTAAAATGGAGGAGCGAAGGAAATGGAAGAATGTCAACAATGAAGAAGGCAGGAGGAAATACAGGAGACTGAGGAATGAATTGAAAAGAGCCACGGACAGGGCCAAAAAGGAATATCTTGAGAAGATATGTAATGAGATTATGGAATTTCAAAGAACAGGCCGTTATGATTTGATGTACATGAAGACAAAAGAACTAGGATGGAAAGAGAATCATGGGATTCAAAATGTTGGCATCGAAGACTCCCAGGGGAATAGAATAGTAGATCAGAGGCAAGTGCTGAAAATTTGGGAAAATTATATTTCAGAACTATATGATCGACCTAATCGGCCAGAAACCTTAGAAGTTGAACCGGAAGAAGAAGTAGATACAGACGAGAAAGGACCATATATTTTACAAAGTGAGGTGGAAAAAGCTATCAAGGAAATGAGGAAGGGAAAGGCTACAGGAGATGATGATGTACCTGGAGATGTGCTCAAGTTACTGGGAGAAGGTGGTTTGAAAACACTGACAAAACTAATGAACACCATATATGAAAGTGGAGAGTGGCCCAAGGACTTTACAGAAGTTACAATGATTGCCTTAAAGAAAAAGACAAAAGCTACAAAATGCAGCGACCATCGCACAATAAGTCTTATTGCACATACAGCAAAGATAATAGCAAAGATACTTAAAAGAAGAATTGAAAGGAAAATAGAGGATGTACTTGGAGAAGATCAGTTTGGATTTAGAAGAGGAAAAGGAACCAGGGATGCAATTGGGATGATGAGAATTATAGCGGAACGAACTTTGGAGATAGATGAAGAACTGTGTGTTTGCTTCATAGACTGGCAGAAGGCATTTGACCGGGTAAACTGGACCAAATTAATGCAGATCCTGAAAGAAACAGGTATCGATTGGCATGAAAGAAGATTGATTAGCAAATTGTACATGGATCAGAAAGTTAGAGTACGACTGGACAGGGGGGAGACAGGAAGTGTGCAGATTGGAAGAGGAGTTCGACAAGGATGCTGTTTATCACCAATTCTGTTCAACTTGTACAGCGAATGCCTTACCAAGGAAGCTCTGGATGGGCTCGGTGACTTCAAAGTAGGAGGGCAAATTATTCAAACTGTGAAATATGCAGATGACCTTGTGTTAATGGCTAAGGAAGAAACTGTGCTACAGGGCATGATTGATAGACTAATTGAAATTGGAAGGTGCTATGGCATGGAAATGAATGTGGAGAAAACAAAAGTAATGAAAATTTCGAGACAACCAACCCCAGTCACAATAAAGATAGACCAAAAACAAGTGGAGAATGTGAAATGTTTTAAATATTTGGGTAGCTTGTTAACAGATGATGGAAGGTGTACTT